AACAAACTCACTTTTACATTTATAGGTAATATTAGTAATACTAACTGTGAAAACATTGTTGATAAGTCGGTATAAGTCTGTTTAGTGATTTACGTGGCATTTTATATTTTGTTGCAAAATGTTATTTCTCTGTTGTTAAATAAGTTATAATAACACTGTAATTTTGTAAGTAACTAATGACTCCTATTTATGTTTTAACTACATTGTATTTAGCGAAATACGGTTCAACGACTTTCTACATTAGTATAGAAAATAAGTTGGTCAGTGGTTCTCAAATTGTATATGGATTTGAAAATTTAACTTGTTTGTCCTAATTTTGGCCTAAAAAGCGTAAAATTTGTAAGGTACTTAAAAGTGTTGAATAAGTGGCGGTCTTTAACCATGTGTTTTTAATGCACATTCTTCCACGCACAATCACGCTTTGGAATCAATTTCCAATAGCAGTATTTCCGAACCGATACAATATCGTAACCTTCAAGAAAAAAACATATTTTATTTTAAAAGGCCGGTATCACACTTGTTATTCTTCTGGTATTTCAGGTATTCATGGGCGATGGTAACCACTTTTTATCAGGTGAGTTTCATGCTTCAGGGCACACAGGCATAACATCAGAGTCCTCAGGAATGGCAACGCATGGGGGGTATCATGGGCGAAACAGTATACTCTGTTATGTCCATGGTACTGCTCATGTCTATAGGCGACGGTTACCACTTTCCATCAGGTGGGCCGTCAGCTTGTTTGCCATTCTAAGTTGTATAAAAAAAAAAAAATGCACGTTTAACTCCTGTGTTATAAAAAAAAAGTGGAATGTGTACTTTGTGGGGTCCACATTGTAGTAATACGAATTAAAAAACATTTAAATGTAAGTTAGACCCGAACACTAATTATTCCGTACAATAACTATATATATTTTGCCTTTAATTAACTACTAGCAAATCCTTCCAACAGAGGGAGACCTATCTTCGTTTTGTAATCGAGTGTAAATTACAAAATCAGTTACAAATGTTGAGAACCACTGCCGCGACGCTGGCGCCACCTCTGTGTTGTGGGTACAGCAATCGTTATTTCTGAAATCAACACAAACACTTAACAACTGTTTGTTTTGCTGATCCCACGCTACACTTGTGGCGTCCGTTCTAATTCGCAAACTATAGGTACATTACCAAATACAGAAGAGCACGTATCATTTATGAAAAATATTAGAATCTAAATTTAATGTGAAACCATTAGTATTTTTGATTTTTCATAGTTTTCCATGCAATTTTTTAAAAGTTCGGCAACGCATTTGCAGTGTCGCAGGTATTGCAGATGCTCATGGGCGGCGGTAGTCACTTACCATCAAATGAGATGCATGCTCGTTTGCCACCTGTTATAAAAAAACATATGTTAAAAATTATTTATTTATACTTTATTGTAAACAAAAATTACATTGTTACAATTTATATTAAATGAAGATGTACAACAGGCGAGCTTAATTCTGTAAGAGTTCTCCTCATGCAAACCTTGAGTGGAAATTAGCATTATTTATTTACTGATATGCATGGAGCATAGCAATAAATAACAAATAAAAAATAGCATAGCAACTAATAATGAGAACAAATTGTTCTCACTAAAAAGGCTCTTATTCAACATGTGTCGGGAGTCCTTACTTTTTTTATGCAACTTAAAATGGCAAACAAGTTGATGGAAAGTGGTAACCGTCGCCTATAGACTTGAGCAGTACCGTGGACATAACAGTGTATACAGTTTCGCCCATGATACCCCCCATGCGTTGACATTACTGAGAACTTAGGCGTTATTCCTCTGTACCCTATAAATTCACTGCCATATCTTACCCTCAAACTGAAACACAACCATGCAAACACAACTGCTTCACGGTAGAAACACGAATAGGATAGAAGTGCCCAAGCAAACGACTATTGTACAAAGTCTCCCTCTGGTAAAATTATGGCTCACCAATGCCAATATTTCGTAGAAGTTTATACAAAGATTAAGTGTATTTCAAGCAAAGATATAGCTTTAACAACATCTATCATATTTACATAGATGTTGTTTTGTTATATATATATATATATATATATATATATATATATATATATATATATATATATATATATAATAGTACATATATTTATATAGTATAATATACTATAATAAATATTATAGTTTAAATGAAGGAAATACACAAAAAGGAACAAAACTGTTGACAGTTACAGCGAACATACCAAATTGTGCATATATTATGCAACATCTTCGCAAATTCTAAACCGATTTAGATGATTACCTTTCCAATCCATATGGTTGACTTCCTTTTGTTCACATACTTATATTGTTACGATTAAAGTCGCTTCTTGTGTAGTAAATTCTTATTTTCTCAGTTTTAAATGTCATCTGTCTATAACATATAACAACACAATTCATAAAGAAAAATATATATATATATACAATAGTACTTCCTTTTTTTTGTCGTAAAAAAAAATTTTTAAAGCATAAGTAAATTTTCTTGTCGTCATGCAAATACAAATCATGCTTATTCAAATAAACTTATTTAACCTTATAAATTATCATTTTTCAATCAATCAATCATAGCCACTGCTGGGCTAAATGCTGTATTCCACTGCTACACAAATGCCTCCTTCAACTGCTTCCATCTCGCTCGATCTCTGACCAAACCATACCGGTCTTTGTGGAATCTATCGAGATTGTCTCTGCATCGAATACGAGATATTCCGCGACTTCTTTTTTTTTTAAGACGCCAAGATGTACGAAAATCGCAAAAAAAAAAAAAAAAAAGTAAAATATAATTTTCTTATCGTAAATAACAAAAAAAAAAAAATTTAGTAATAGCATTATTATTAATAATACATATGTATCTGTTCCAACGACTGCAGTAAACTTACGTCTAGACGTAACCTGATATGAAGAACATAATGCTCAAACATTACGGATTATACGAACTGAAATCAGAGACTATTGTAATAAAAATCGCTCCAAGCCTATAATATAAACTGAAGTTTATTCTATTTATGGAATTAAGACATTTATTGGTGGTAACATCTATTTTATCTCATCGTGTAGGTTCCGATATGGAATAAGCCCTCCCTTCCTTTCCCATGAGTATCGTAAAAGACTAAGGGAACTTAATGATCGAGGGATGTTTTAAGAGGGGCGCTGCTCTCCACCATAGCTAACTTCTCTTACCAACCCGCCTGCTAAACGTGGCAGCTACTAATAAAACGTTCCTAAAGGAGGCCTATATTAATTAATAAGGTTTTATAATTATTAAGTAATTCATATTTCATTTTGCTTGGTTGATTAACAAAAGATCCTATTTTGTTAGGGAGACTGTGTACAAAAATCGTTTGCTTAGGCACCTCTGTCATATTCGTGTTTCTACCGTGAAGCAGTTGTGTTTGTATGGCTATGGGATATGGCAGTGAATTTACAGGGTACAGAGGAATACTCAGGAATGGCAACGCATGGGGGTATCATGGGCGAAACAGTATACTCTGTTATTTCCATGGCACTGATAACGTTTATACGCGACAGTTACCAGTTTGAATCAGGTAGGCCGTCAGATTGTTTGCCATTCTAAATTGCATATATATATATATATATATATATATATATATATATATATATATATATATATATATATATATATATATATATATATATATATATATATATATATATATATATATATATAAAATTTACCAATTCTAATGTCATAATGCAAACGCAACGATATTTATAACATCGTTGTTTAGTACAACCCGAACAGACTCTGCATGACTAAAATTCATTTACACACGTTAAAGTTAAACCCATATTCATATTTAACGTTACCTGTTATTGTGTATTGGTATAAAACATTACTCCCAACAATAAAAATATACCCCCATAGTAAAAACGTGTTAAAATAACAATTATAAATATGTACCCAAGCCAAGATGAATACGTAGCGTAGTTTTAACTACCCCTTGTGATCTATTTTAAACCTTAATGTGTTGCAATAAAGATAATAATTTTAAAGTAATAATCTAAGTGAGTACTTGAAGACAATAATACCAATTACAATGTATAGCAGGTACTCGGAGATTTTGAAACAATGGTAGCTTAAAACACGCTGCGCTCGCAAACTTATTTTAATGTTAAACTTTAACTTCATAAAATGTTATTCACCTGAGTTTTTAAACGAGTTCCATTTTTAAAACTTTGTGAGAAAAATGGAACTTTGGTGAGAATTTAAAAATAAAATTATTTAAAAATTAATATTAGAAGATCAAACTTTTTTTTTATACTTAAACAAATTGTATGTATGCTCAATAATAAAAAAAAAATTAACGTGTATTATAATTGTAGCTATAAATCAATAAATTAGCTAAATGTAAATAAATCTTTTCTATTCATAAACTATATTGAAAAATATTTGGACCTAGAAACGATTCTAATAATGGATAATTTAAATAATGAAAATATATTAATATGTTTTAATAATTTAGTTTTACGCTTTTTATTTTATTTTTTCTTAATAAAAATTTACATTTTGTTTAAAATATACATGTGTATAAAATTTACAATTATTGGCTATTATTTATTTGATACCTTACAATCTTATATAAAGCTAAAATCAATACATATATATATATTTAATAAAAAAAATTATCACGTGTTCGTGATTTCTGTCAAGTACGAAAATAATCGGAGAATCCTAAAGTTAAAATGACTATATTATTATAAAAACTATAAAATATATATATATATATATATATATATATATATATATATATATATATATATATATATATATATATATATATATATATATATATATATATATATATATATATATATATACACATATCATATAAAATTCTATCTTGATCGATGAATCAATAAAAGCCATACAGATTCAGAATAGTCAAAAGCTTTTCAGCGAGCCTTGTTGCCAAGTTCAATAGCAAGTACGGTGCGCCCGCGCACGCCAGTCCACAATCCACGCGCTGCCGGCCAGCACGCACGACAACCGTTCCGCGATCGTAACGATCGATCGATAAATCATTGTTTACATCGAATCGAAAATCGATACGTGTTCTTTTTTTATAATCGGATTCAGTGTTGTGTAATTAATTGTAAGTGTTTATATTTGTGTTGTGCTGTGACAGATTGTATGATGTTGCGTGCACTGTCAACATTTGTGAAATCATTTTGACAGGTAAGTGCAGGGTTGCAATTTAAATAATAGCACATGGGTTTTTCTAAGAAAATTAACAATTAACTATTACCGTCAACGTGACTGTTATTAATTTTGATAAAATTTTTGAAAAATTATTGATAATAAATTAAGAAACAAAATTTTATAATTTACAATTTAATTCCTATTTGTGCCATTATTTTACGTGGTAGAGCTGTATTTTATAATGTTTTTTCAATATATAAAATTATAGACTTTTATGTCAACTTTTTTGAATTTTGGTTTTGTTTTATAAATTATAAAATTCCATTTTACAACCGGTGACTTTTGAAATGTAACTACTTTACATTTACATTATTCATAATTGATTTATATTCTTGATTTAGTATTAAACATACAATAATAAATTAATTATTTCTTTACAACGGATATATACTATCTATAATATACTGAATCTATAGGAAATTTATAAACTAAATCTTACGGCACAGGTATAAGACTCAAATATCGATCGACTGTCCAAAATCCCCTCCATCTTTATTAGTCTCTGGTTTCAAACTGAATGATGTTGTAATTAGTTTAACTGCATTATGTGTGAACTTGAGTAATTGTCGTAAAGTACACGTTTATCCGTACAATAACCACTTAAACACAAATATCCGAGCAGATGACTCCAAGAGCATAACGCTTGTAAATCAAGTTGCGGTGCGCGCGCGCAGCCGCCCTATGCTGAAATGTTGATGACTTTGTACTAGGGGCAATTTGGAGTGCGACACAAGTGATAAGCGTAGTGCGTTGTTATCTGAATTGTAGAAGATCGTAGACAAATAATTGTAATTATTAAATATCTAAATTTATAAAAAAAACACTTGTAAGTGTTTTTTTTTTATAAATTTAGATCTGCAAAAAATTGGCTTTTTTAGTAAAAAGTAAATAAATAATAATATGGGATCAATATGGGGTCTATTGATAAAGAAATAATTATTATAATCCGTTCATAATTAGCGAAAATATAAAGCTACGTACTAAAGAAAATACGGACTTATTGAAAATCTCCTCACTTTTTAAGTCGCTTAATTCTTATTTCCTTAGTGATATTATAAATATGATATCACTATATTCACTATAAAATTTGTTTTATTTATATATTTATTTATTTCTTATTACATTCCATAATATAATTAGTAGATAACATTTCAATTATGGACCCTGTTGAGCATAGCAACTAGGAGAGAGGAGGACAACACTTTTTTCACTTTAGAAATAGTTTAAGGATCAACAGATCCTTAAACTATTTCTAAATCTATTGTAACAACAATATTATCCAGTTATTGAAATTGTATCACGATAGGTACGTATTTTCTTTTTCTTATTATTATTATTATTTAAATATTGGTCTATTTATATCGTAATTGTTATTAGTATTATATAGTTATTTAATATATTCTGTAGTTTATAATTATTTATATTCACATTGTAAAAATAATTAATAAATAGTTTAATAATAAAAATAATATTAAAATTTGGTATATGTATACTATATAGAATGAAGAAGTATATACGAAATTGCAGATAATAATAACCTAGACTAAAAATAATTGGTATTTTAACTTGAGACAAGCATAACCATTCATTAACGTTTTATAACTTGGTACAGATTGATATTTTGACAGAATACAAATTAATTCCTAGTTTAAAATATAGATAATTGAGGTAGTGTAGACAGGAGTTAATTATTTAATCAAGAAATTATTTTCTCGTTTTAATTACAATAATTACGTGTCCAATAAATAAAATATTAATTAAATGCTTCCATGATGATCTTTGCTACTAATTATACTAGTAGTGGCCAAGTGAAATTGATATTTAATGATTTTATAGGCAAGTTTGTACAAAGATATACTATCATAACCTAAATTAACAAAATTGTGACTCGTGAAAAGAAACGTTACGTTACGTAATCCTGCTATAATTAGGAGTATGTATTATTACTTTTTTTATACCATTGAGGTGGCAAAACATGCATACGGCTAATCTGATGGTAAGCAGTTATCGTAGCCTATGAACGCATGCAATACCAGGAGCATTACGCGCGCATTACCGACCCCGAAGAATCCCTTTTTTGAAATATGTATTAATATTAAAAATATAAGAGTTTTTAAAGATATATGCGTGTTTGTTACTTAATCACAATTATACCGTTGAATGCATTTGAATTAAATTTGAAACACTCTTAAGTTATATTCTAATTTAACAAATAGGATACTTTATATACTTTGTACGCGAGAAAAGCCATGGGAAACAACTAGTATTGATTGAATTTATTTCACTTTGATTTTTTATCCCCACTCATAACTTTAAAAGTGAGCTCATTTCTTTCGTCAACGGCTTAACCGATCGTCATGAAGGTTAGTATTCACGTACTAACTGGAATATATCTAGGAGGAAAGGGATTGTTAGTAATGGAGACTAAAAATCTCATTGTTAGTAATATACCCAACCAGGTCGATCTCCACGTGGTTCCCCCTGGAAACTATCATGGTTAATTCCTGATGACTTCATCATGATAGGCTAACTGGCCTGTTTTCATTCTTATCGATCACCCTTCACTGGTGCTCCGCCAGCGTATCCCGTTAGAGCAGGCAGGGTTACCATTCCATTTTCACTCATAAAAAAAACTGGAATATATCCTGGTCACATGAATCAAATCTTGGAATCAACTAATTATTTAGGTATAAACTAAACATAATTGTCATCACTTTATATCATGTAAACTATCCACTAATAGCCCAACTTCGACAATATAAAAAATATAAAATTCTCTAAACTCTTCCAACTTGCACCAAACACCAAGTGAGAAGTTTGTACACGAGAAGCGACAAAGTTATGCGCCTTTTGACGTAGTGAGCGCACTTATTGAGCCCTCAAGAGACTAACAGTTCTGGAATGGTATGTGAACGGTGGCGTCATCACGTCACCTCGCACTCCATAATGACACTTGCACTAATTGGAAATTCCCTTCTACGTTCAAATTTGTAATGGACGCGTAGAAATAATTACGACACTGTATTTGTTTAGTATTCTATTTTTAAATGGTTTTTAAATAAAGAAGGTTCTTAATTTAATTGTATATGTTTTTTTTTTTATACGGAGCAACGAATGAGTTTTTTTTTTTTAATAGGTGATAATGGAATGGCAACCCCGTCTGCGCTATTGGTATACATTGACGGGGTACCAGTGAGTTATGTTAGGTGAGAACAAAAGCAGGACAGTTGGTCCATTTGGAAAAATTTAACAGGAATTAACCATGATGGTCTCTAGAGGGAACTGCGTGGAGATCGACCTGATAGGGTATATTGCTAGCAATGAAGAAGTTAGACCCCATTACTAACAATCTCTTTCTGGATTTTTTTTTAATAGGTGAAAATAGTATGGTAACCCCGCCTGCGCTAACGGGATACACTGGCGGAGCACCAGTGAAGGGTGATAGACGAGAATGAAAACAGGCCAGTTAGCCCATCACGATGAATTCATCAGGAATTAACCATGATAGTTTCCAGGGAGAACTGTGAGGAGGTCGACCTTGTTAGGTATATTGCTAGCAATGGGATTCTCAGTCTCCGTTACTAACAATCCCTTTCCCCCTTTCTTTCTGGATTATGGAGAATAATGAATGAGGTGTACCATGAAGGTCACAGTTTAATTTATGATGTCTATTGATTCATGTCTGTAGGTCATGGTTACCATTTTCCATCAAGTGGACCGATCGATTGTTTGCTATTCTAAGTTGCTATTTTATTGTTAAAAATCTATAATAAGCATAATGAATATGGTAACGACTTAGTCGGTCAACTCTCGACTCTAACCCGAGGATTTTGAGACAGAAACCAAAAGTTGTCTGGAGGAGATTGCTTAGCAATAAGACCGCCTTTTTGTATTACACTACACTTATCGAAAAGTGTTCAACAAATCCTGTAATGTTGGTGCAATAAAGTGTTAAGCAAATAAAATAAATAAACCCAGTCTTTAAATAATTAGGTGTGTAAGGTTATTTTATAAGCAGTTGGTATTCATTCTTTTTTATCTATTATTATTATTTCAGCCGTTAACTGTCCACTACTGGACATAAGCCTTCCCCATAAGGGGAATTTTGCCAGTAGTTGCCACGCTTGGCAGGTAATTTGGCAACCTTTAAGCTTTTACAGATGTTTTAAGAGGGACGCTGCTTCCCATCCCTCCACCATAAGCTCCCTCAACTGCTTCTTACGACACCCACGGAAAAGGAAAAGGTGGCCCATTCTATGTCAGGAACGACACGCTGATTTTTATCCATATAGAATCCTAATATTGAAATAGATTTAAAAAAAAATCAAGTCAATTACACCTAAGCATTTTTTGATAGTAAATTTTTAAGTTTCAGCTGAGAAGAATGGGTATAAAAATCTTTTGTTTTATATTTGAAAAAAATGTAAATAATCTGATTGTATAAACTCATTTGTTAATTTACGTGTGTCATAAATGGCTCAAATAAAGTGTTTATCTATCTATCTATCTAACTATTGTTTTTTTTTTAAACAAAAGCTGAGTATACATCTTTGTATATATGTGTAAAAAAATAAATGAGAAAAATATGTTTGTAAAAAAGCATATGAAGGTAGAATATTTTATATCTTACTCGATACAGTACTGAACCCTCGAGGCACTAATTCGTTTGTACTTGACCTTTTTTTTTTCAAATTATTATTTTGGAACTTACTCATTTGGCGTGTTGAAATTTACGCAATAAATCACTAGTAAAATTGGGAATGAATTTATACGTCTCGTGTTAACATATCGCATCAATTCTCACGTAGATATTTTTTATTTATAATAATTAATTAAAACGCTTTCGCTTCCAGCGCTTTCATAAAGCGTTGAAAAGTGATTACTCAATGGCTCCTTCTGTTGAAAGTTTATATACTGTTTGGTCTCATTGCTATTATCGATGTGGCGCTAACGATTTTGGAATGGAATTTAGTATT